CCTCTCTCTCTCTCTCCGGGACCTATCCCCGAGTCAGTGCCGTCCCACCAAGCAAGACAGCACTGTCAACATTCCCCCCTGCTCGCCCCTAGCAACGGCCATGTCTACAACAGAAGGATAGGACAACAAGAGACCCGCCGGGTAAGTGGCTGGACATATCTGGACGTTTTTTTTCTTCACTGCTACACATTAACATACAGGTGAAGGTAGAGGTGTAGACAGGGCACCGGTGGTACTTACACTTTCAGGAGCCGGGAGGAGGATACACCTCGGGAAAAGAAGAAACCAAAAGCGAGGTAAGTGATGATAAAATGGAACCAATGTTACGCCTCTTTAATAAACAGTTAGGTCAGTTAAAAAAAACCCAAAAACACCACGGTCCCGAGTTGAAGTCCACCTTCGATTAGTCCAATAAGGCCTAGTTAAGAGAGCCGAGACACAAGAGGAACAAACTACCTTATAGCGCACTACATAAGATGTTATCCAGGAGTAAAAGTTCAGGACAAAGATGGCAAATAATCTACACCAGGGATAATCTTACCTTTTCTCATATAAAATGACAAGTTATGGGAAAGCAGTTGGAGTAAAGAAAAGCACATGGACACGATAACAGTTATTTAAAACAGGGAAATAGCAAGGTAGGTATATAGAAACACAAGAGGACAGACGAGATGTAGGACCTAGCACAGGTGCCCTCCAACCACTTGTTAGGGAAAATAACTTCTAACCAGAACCCCAAAAACAAAACAAAAACAAAAAACAAAAAACCCCAACAAAACAAAAACAACAACAAAAAAACAAACAAACATACAAACAAAAATTATTTTAATTTAACCAAAGAGACACGTTACGGCCATCTTAATCTAAAATCACAAAATGTCTTTCCCCCATACCATCATAACCTGGACAAAGTGGGAGAACGACAGCTTAAAACTTAAAGAATGGGAACCTCTCTGTAAATACCTACCCGGCGTGTGCGGGATACGTCCCAGAGAAAAGACAAAGATCAGACCTAAACAATTAAATAACTTTTTGTGGAATCTAAATCGAATTCCCAGGGGTGTCTCTGCTTATTGCCTGCGATCATGCATAATATAAACGTATCATTTCGGGGAATTGGATCTGCCATAACATGAATCGTCTTGAGCGAACTGGTAGATCTACATGAGCACATGCAACATCAATATTATATTGACAATTGGTGACAATCCCAACCCTGGTAGTTTCTCACATTTCAACACGGAGAGGACGTCCTATTGATAGGCCTTCAATGTGTGCAGCAAGGAAACGGCTCCGATATGAAGAGTTGGACAGGCAAAAGCTTACAATGAAAGATAAGGTGTACTTTATTGATTCTCGACTGCAATGAAATTAACAGGGCGCTTTCACCAGCTCCTGTGACATGAATAATATAAACAAGTAGCGTATATCAACACACTTACACAATAGCGCATTCACACGCACAAACGCCCGCGCGTGAACACAGAACATACACATTAACATATTCACACACACACACACACTCACACACACACACACACACACACACACA